CGGTTTAAGAATGAGGAGACTGTTGCCAGGATTATTAAAGAAACCGTGTTCAACAGTGGAAAGATGTCAGGTTGTGGGATTTTCTGCCACGGGAGGTTTTAGAGACCAGCGTTGTCTGGATTTGATGACAGGTAATGACATTAACTAATTACGAAACTAATCACATTTGGAGCAGTGGAAGCTGAGATCATGATAAGCATAATCAAATCCCCGACTTCAGGGCTTCAGGAATCAGAGGATAGGTTTTCTCCTCTTGTAAAGCTTGACCAGATGCCTTTTGGGGTCCTTTGTCTGAATATTTTGGAAGCTGCAGATATCAAAGAGAGTCATAACCAGAGTTCTGAACTGCAGCACCCAGCGGCCAGATAGGCACGGAGCCCATGGACCGTAACACTCCAACTCCTCCTGGATCCCGACTGGCTGCGGAGGAGCCTTGCTCAGCCCATCATCAAGAGCCCAATCAAGGTGAGTTTCAAAGGGGGCCCTATGGACCCCATTCTCTTCCCCTAAAAGCCTGAAAACCTGTACCCACCCTGTCCCCCATTACAAGCTGGGTTGCCTTGAACAAACTACAACTCCCCGGAGCCTCCATTTCTGCCTCTACAAAGTAGAAATACAAAATATCTTTCCCATTTGCCTCATCAAATCGAGGTGAGATTCCAGTGAAATATAGTTTACTTTGCATATTACAGACTGCTGTAAATATAAAACGTATCGCCAGTACTACGCCAAATTTAAGGCCCAAGTACCTACGCTACAAATACCTCAATTACCAAAAACATGGAGAATGATTAAAATCTAGAAGCCGGCCACCTTTGAGTGGTCAGAGCCTCCTCTCCTCTTTCCCTCTTCTCTGTCACTCTCTCCGGCCCCCCCGGAGCAAGGAGGCAAGGCCAATCCTCTTCAAAGCCTTCATAGCCCCTTGAGGAGATAATGAACCTGAGCCAGGAGCTGTGCTTGGAAACGCCCTGGTCATCCTTCTCATCTGCTAACGTTCCTTAAGCCCCGATGTAAAACTTGAAAGGGAATGAAATCCTAAACGTAAACACTGTCTTTCAGTCTCTTGGAAAATTATCTTCCTCTACTTTCTCTCTCCTCCCAGTTCACTCACCCACAATTAAAGCCATACTTTGAGTTAAACCCCACTTTCCAAAAACCAAGCAATCACTTATGAAAGAGAAAAACATTAAGAGATCCAGATTTCAATTAACTCTGCCGTTGGTTTTTGTGTAACTCTGGGGGAGGCATTATTCTTTTGGCAAAGTGGGGGCAAAGAACTCAAAGATGAATGAAGGTTCTAATGACAGCAGTGGGCGACAATGGAGACATCCGCAGTTCTGCTCCCCAGACCCTGCCGAACAACAAAAATGGGAGGAGAACAGCCTGGAAGGGAGGCCTGCTGATCGCCAGTGACAACGTAGAGTCTGCCATTCAGGTGGAAAGTCTTTGGCAAAAAAAGTGTTTCCTTGTACTTTCTCATTTCAAGGTTATGAGTGTATCTGGTGTCTTAAATAACTGCCAGGTTTTCTGTTTTTACTGGTCAATAAGATGTACATCCAATTGTTTCACAACTGCCAAATACAAATGGATCATAATAAGGGACTAGTGAGTTAGCACGGCAGTGCAAGAGCACACACACAACACACACGCACACGCATGCACACACACACACACACACATCACATAAATACAATAAGGAAACCACTCATACAGATAGTTTTTAATGTGTTGTGTCACTGAATGTCTATCAGAGGAAAAAAGCTTCTGTGAAAATACATTTAAAACAACAGGCAGTTTAATCAGATAAGTACACAGCATTCATCTCTGTCCCCCCGCCATGTGATTGCAGCATAATGAATGAAGGGAAGGAGCTCGCCGGAACACCTCTCCTCTGAGCATTGACGTGAAACCAGCTATGGCAAGAATCCTTTCCTGGGCTGGGGCTGGAGCGGGATCATCACCATCATCACTACGTCAACTACTAGTTTGAGCAAAGGAAATGCATGGTGCAATTCAGAATTTTATTTTAAAAGGTTTATTCCAATTTTACTCGACTTCCTGATGGGGAATTCAGCCCTGCAACACAACTCACCAATTTTTGGAAGCCCCTGGAGGGTGGGGGTGGGGGAAAGCTTCCCTTCCATGGGGTCAGTAATGAGAAACCACCTTTCAAGGAATTGCAAGGGGAATCAATTAGAGCAAACTTCCTCCTTGCAAACCAAATGCAAAGCTGAGGCTCTTCAGCCTGCAAGGCCATCTAGGTAAGGCTGTCAAGGTGGCCTTGTTAGCCGCTATCCTGCAAGGGGAAGTGTTACATTTGCACCTGGCAATGTAACTCTGTCACAGTGACGCTGTATACCGCCATCTCCTAAGGAACCAAGGGGCTGGTGAGAAGCCTGGTGGGGTCCCCCAGCGTGGGCACACCGCGTGGCCCACGGGCAGCTGGCACTCAGGCACTCGCTGACCGCCCGCTGTGCGCCTGTTCCAAGGACTTCACCCTGTGAGTAGGTCCTGTTATTCCCTGCCTTTTACAGATAAAGCAGAGAGACATGAAGTGACTCGCCCAGGAGCCCAGGATCACCCAGTTACCAAGCCTCAGAGAGGCCTTAGGGCCAACCGGCCCATGCTGAGCATACCAGGTAACCACTCGGTGGCCGCTCAAAGGGACTGAATTTAATGGAATGTTAAACCGGAAAAGTGGTGGGCCGAAAAGAAGGCAGGAAATGAATTGGCTTAATTATAATCATCTCCAAAATAAAAACCAGTCCGCCTAGATCTCCCCTCCGTCTCAGCAGTGCTCAGCAACATGGGCATGAGTGCTGCAGACAGACAAGCACCCTCTCTCGGCCCCCTCCCCGAACCCCACCCTGGACGCACCTGTGTAGTGGAACCAGTCCTGGCACTGACAGGCCCTCCATAGTTTGCAAAAAAGAAGAAGGGGCCAGGAACAGAGAAGTCAGCCCCAGACCCTGAACTGTGAGCCCAGCAGCCCTGCTCCAGCACCCAGCCCTGGTGGCCTCCATTCCACACGTGGACCCTGCAAAGCATGAGGGGCAAGCAGACCCTCAGCTCCAGTGTGACCCACCATTTCAATCTTTCACTTCTGTGTGTCCCTCCTATCCTACTAGGTGGACGGTGGGAATCTCAGTCCACAACGTTGGTATATAAAAAACATAACTTTTTTGATAATCTAATTTCTTATTGAAGCCTCATTCTTTAAGCATAACAGATACTCAATTCCACGGGCTCAACTTCCCCTAAGTCGTGGCTCAGCTCTGGGTATTCTTTTGTTCTACAGCTTGGCAAGGGAAAGATGTCAGTTGTCTATGCAGGTGACCTCTGAGACATCACTCGGTCCCTCCACCTGGTCAGAGACATCCACATCGGTTCACCCAAACCACCATGGACACTCTTTTGTTCTGAGCTAGTGGCCCCTTTCCTAGAGTCCCCCACCATCATAACTGATCACTTCCCCCAGACCTGCCCACCACTCAGGATATGTCCCTGAAAGTCTTCAGCGGGCCCTAAGGCCTTTCTGTTCCCCTAAGGAGTAGGGTTGTTTCAAAACAAGATGTGTTGGGTAAGACTCGCACTTGAATGCATATAACAAAAACCCCAAAACAGTGGCTTAGCCAGATAGAAATTTATTATGGGACATAACAAAAGTATCCAGTACAGTGCTCAAAGATGCAATCGGGGAACCAGGCTCCTTCAGTCCCCACCAGGCCTGTGGTGAGGAGCCGAGCTCAGGGTGCACGCGGGCACGGCAGCTCCCCATCTAGAGGGGAGTTTGGAAGGTGGGCGTCTAGATCTCCAGCCTCCACAGCAGGGGAATGCCACTTAGAAGGGGACGGAAGAGGGGACTGAGGGGCCAACCCAAACAGGCTGACACAACCAGAGACTCATTGCTGTCACTTCCTTTTCCGAAGTGGGGGGCAGGCCCTGGCCAGCTGCTCAAAGGAGGTAAAGGTGAAAAGAAAAACTGAGAGGTAAAAAGCTGGGTGATGGTCACAAAATACCATCCCGCCTCAAGAACTCAAGAACGCCCAGGGCCCTGCAGCAGCAGCAGGGGACGTCCCCGCCACCAGCCTCTGTCCTCCGTCCTCCCACCTACCCTGGCTTGGCCCACGAGACCCAAAAGGTGCTGGTGTGCCAGGCCAGCGAAGCTCCCACATATGTGAACAGCAAAGGCAGGGCCAGGATGTGGCAGGGCCTCTGGCTCTGGAGGCCTGGCTTCCAGCAGTGAGCCAGCCAGCTCCAGCTCCGTGCCACCCCACTCCTTTGGGAGGCCCAGAGGCACACGGCCTGCCCTCTCCTGCAATGTCACTACAACCTGCTGCAGCAGAAGGCCTAACTGCCTAAGCCGGAGTCCTAGGTCTGCTGCGCTAGGACCCTGGGAAAATTACTTTGAGCTGTGCCTCGATTTCCTCATCTATAAAGTGAAGACGGAATACCTGCCTTGCAGGGTTGCTGTGGAGAGAAGACAGAATGGCTGTACAGTTCCTGCCCACACAGGCCTTTTGGAAATGGCTCTTCTCACAGAAGACCCTGGAAACGTGGATAGGACCAGGAACACAATCCAAATCAGTGCTCCCTGCTAGAGACGTGCAGGGGAGGATTTCCACACGGATAGATTTCCTCCACAAGGTGCTCCCTTTAAGGGGGAGGGGAAATAGTAGGGGGCGGTTGGCTAGGAATGCTCCCAAACCTGGCATGGCTCATTGGTACCAGCCTGTGGGAATCACCTACTGACCTCAATTCAGCATAAACCTAGGGGTATTTATGTGCCCTAACGTGGTGTGTCAGTTTGGCCTCTAACTTACAGTGATATCATTTGCAAATAGATTAATTCTTTTGGGCTCTTTGGGCACCTTTAGGACTATGTGCTTCTAGAGAGCCATCTCTGTCCAAGTGTAAGAAAAGAGCATTTTAATCAACACTAAATGTGGTACAACAAAAAATAATGTGCTTGCCAAAAACTGAACTAAAATAAAACCAACCTCTGGTTACATCAGTGAAGTGAGAGTCCTGTGTGCTTGAGCAGACCACACCTGAAGCTCTGGTGACTCTGTGCGCTGTCTTGTAAGGCGGAAGGAAGGTACACTGCAGTGTGTGCAGAGGAGGGGCTGGGGCGGCCACCAGCCACAGGGGGAAACTCCACAAAGCCGGGTGGAGGAAACAGGGAGTGTTCTGCCTGGTAGGGAAGAAAAAAAAAAAGGTGGCGGGGGGGTGTTTAAAACCATCTTCAGATATTTGGAGAGAGCTTCTGTGTGTAAAAATGGGCTGTATTTTACATGCATCAGGAAGTAAAACTGCAGCCAATCATAAACAGCTACAAGAAGACAGATTTTGACTCAAGGGGAGGAAGAGATTTCAGTTCCCGCATCCGAAGACGGATGCACAGCCCCGAAGGGCACATGCTCCCCACACTAACAGTATTCAAGGCTGGACGTGAGTGCCTGCTGAGGATGTCACAGCACGCCTGCCAAAGGACAAAGGAAGCTATTATGTCAGGTCCCTTCACATGCCAACTCTCAGGTGCCAACCTGGCCACACTGCATTGGGCCATTGGCCACTTGTCGGCCCTGCAATGGACTTCACAGGGACAACCCAACAGAGCCCCCCATGGGTCCCTCAACTGGCCTCTCTCTTCCCACCCTAGGGCTCTCCATCACCCCTGAAGCATGAGACATTCCAACAAAACTTAGTGCCTAACCATGCTCAACCTAGAGGCAACGGGAGGAAATAAAGGAGTGTTAACGTCCCACGAGGAAAACCATTTACCAATCAGAGGTTGAAACTGGCAAATAAATTCTCTTCCCTCCTTCTCTCTCACTCCACCCAATCAGTCCTGAGACTCAGTACTTTATGCTCTGGGAGGACGATCCCTGTGGTAGTTTCCTATAGCTGCTGTAACTAACTACCACAAACGTGGTGGCTTAAAACAACAGAACTGTGTTACCTCACAGTTCTGGAGGCAAGACTCTGAAACCAGTATCATTATTATGCTCACATCAAGATATCGGCAGGGGCTGTGCTCCCTCCAAGAGCTCTAGGGGAGGATCCTGTCGTTGCCTCTTTCAGCTTCTGGTGGCTGCAACATTCCTCGGCTTGTGACCACATCACTCCACTCTCTGTCTCCTCGTGTGTATTGAATCCACCTTCACCAACCTCCCATAAGAACCCTTGTGATGGGATTTAGCAACCACCCAGAATATCCAGGGTAATCTCCCATATCAAGATCCTTAATCACATCTGCAAAGTCTTCACAGGTTCCGGGCATCGGGATGTGGGCATTTCTTTGGGAGCCAGTATTTAGCCTACCACGGTCCCTGATGACTGCGGGATCAGTTATGCCTCATGCCAGGCTGTGGCCATGTCGGCAACCACCCTTCTGTTCCCTCCTTTCACTTCGGCCCCACTACTCTTCTCCCAAACCCCTACCACCTGGGATTGAACTCTCCACTAAGGAGGCAGCACATGAGATTCTCCTCAAACTGTACCTTCTGGAAACCCAAAGGAACCATTAAGAACAGTGTGCGTCATGACAACAGTGGTAGCAGTAGTGGTAAAACATACCAGTCCCTACAGTTTTCACAGATATTTAACTTCCTTCCAGAGTACTGCATAATCACTAAAACATAGGCTTACACACCAAGGGAACCAAGGTCATCTATTGCCTTAAGAATTTTACACTGTATTGAAAGATTTATTTCCCCTCTACAAAACATTCCCAGCACGGTGACAATGTTTTTGGTAGAATACCTGCTAAATGAATAGAATTTTTAAAAGAAGTGTATTCCACAACAAATAGAAGATAATTCACCCTGTCACAAGAAAGTTAAATAAATTAGTTAAAGCTTACAAATTCCTTACAGATGAAAAGTGTTATTTGGAGCAGCACTAAATCCTGCTATGAATATGCTTTTTGTGTACTGAAGCAAATTGCATTTCTTAAAATAGCAGTGTCCTGGGTCCTGGGGATATCTGAGAAGTATCATAGTTTCGTGGCTGGGTAGCAGAATCAGATTCACCTCCAAATTCAGTCGGCAGAGCTCTCTCTGCCTTGTACGTGGGGATCGCAGGGGAAATCGGGCAAAACTTTCTACTATAGCTCCCAGAGGTCTTTGCAGGTGACGACTATATAACGGAAGGTTGGTTTTTTTCATCTGGCAACATCATTGGCACCTTGTTTCAGAGAATCATTTGACTTTTAGGTCCACAGATAAATCTGAAGAGAACAAGTAGCCAGTAACATAGAACATGAGGAAGATATTTCCTGTTAAAAGGGCAAATATCAAAAACAAGAACTTTCAAGAACTTCACTTCTGTTACCCGGACAAGGCAAATTGACTATTTTGATGTAACTGCTTCCTCTAGCTGCATTTAGTCATCATCATCTCAAAAATTACAAGACACGTCATCAAATGAATATAATCTGAATGAAGGTGGTATTCAATAGCATGGTGAAATGAGTACACACCTGGCACATCCATGTTTAATATATGTCAGTTAGTTGGACAATTTATATTTGATAATTTCTCTGATATGGATTCCCTTGGACTTTATGCACAAAATCTTAACTTTCAAATCTCTCAAGCCAAGACTGTCTCCATCCTTCAGTTGCTAGTACAACCTGCTATCAACATTTCGGTATCTCTCTTTCTTTTCTTTCATGGTAATGTACACACAGAGAGACAACATAAAACAAGGTACCAGGCAGCATTTTGTAGAATGATGGGATTGCTCTTCCTCTCCCATCTCATCTACCTTTTCTTTCTTTGTATCACAAATAAAAGCCAACTCCTTGGGCAACACAGGAGAAATTGTCAGGAGAACTTATGTGCTTCTGGAGGACTCTAGCCACAGGAGTCCAAGAACAAAATGGTTTGAAGAATCTTCCAACTCTTCTTTATACAGTCATCACTTTCCCTGGACAAAATTCAGTTCTCTTTCCAGCTCATAGCAGGCTCTTAACTAATGCTGAATGGTGAATGAATGAATGAACAAAAAAGAATAATAGGACTGAACACTGCTGAAACCATGGAAAAGCACATGATGTAAAGAAGCATCATGCCATACTGGAAAGAGCAGTGACCTAAAGCCAGGAGACCCAGCTTCCAGCTCTTCTCCTGGCTTACTATACGATCTTGAGCATGCTATCTCCGTCTTATTTTTTCACATGCCAAATAGGAATAATAACATCTATTCTAGTGTTTTTATAGGTAATATCTAGATCACTAATATAGTACCTTATTGTTTAGAAGACACTTGGACTCACATTCTCTCACTAGATCCTCCCAACCACCAACTGGTGACAAAGGGTGCCCATCTTTCAGCCTAAAAGTAGAAGTCCACAATGTTGACCACGGTGTCTTGACATAGTTAATAAAGGTGCACTCCAAGCCACAAGTTCCAGCCATGTCCACACCTGCTTTTCCAGGAGGCAGGCAGAGGAAGATCCTGGCCATGATCAGTGCTGCTGGATAACAGCAGGGCCTCTTCTCTAACCGTGACTTCCTGCCCTAAATCTTTCTTGCTTCCTGCCATTCACACACCTGTTCCGAACATTTGTAAAATTAGCACATCACCAAAGGTCTTGAGCATTTCTTCAAATGAGTACTACTATAAAAATACTACAAATGTATTTCTCAGCATGGAGTAGGTATTTAGTAAATACCTGTGAGTAGGTATTTAGGCTTTGTAGGCCATATGGTTTCTGTAACAACTACTTGATGTTGTTGTGCAAAAGCAGCCATAGACAGTACATAAACAAAGGAGGGTGTGTGCTCCAACACACCTCTATTTACAAAAACAGGCAACCAGTCAGACTTAGCTTGCTTGGGCCTTGTGTGACAACCCTTATAGTACTTTGGCTTCGAGAAACATCTTGTCCAAAACATCATTTTGGCAATTCCTTTTGGAGGCAGGCCCCTGACAACTCTTGATTCATACATATATCCAGGCACTTTGTCCCTCTTCCTCCACTGTCCTTTGATAAACACCAACTGGCAGAGGGGACATGGAGCATTTATCCCTCAATCGCAGTTATTCTGAAAGACAAAGCGGGGCAGAGATTAAAACCAGACCCAGGTCTTTGTGCCATACTCAGCATATCAAGTGCCCCTCTTCAAATTGTACTGAGCAAGCTGTATACCTTAATAAAGAAAGTAGAACTATTCTTTCACTTAATCGTCTTTTAGTAAGGGGATGGGGGCCAGGCCCACAAAAGGCCCTTATAAAATGCCGGTTGAAAGGAAACAGCGCTGCTTACACCACGGAAGCTTTCTTATGCGCGGCTCCATGATCACTTCTCGTTTTGTTTCTCTGGTGCTCCATGGCACCCGTCCATGTATTAGGCTAATAACTGCATGAGTCTAGTTAAAAGGAACCAAGCAATTATTTTAATTAGAAGAGAACAAAAATAACACTCCTGGCTTCTGTTTTAAGGGGCAAGAAGGAAGTAGTCAGAGTTCACAAAGATCCCACAAAATATTTTTGTGAAAGGAAAAATAATTAAGGCCAAATTTAGAATGTACTTGCAATAAATGGGCCAAATTAAATGAATGGTGGCACTGTGCAACTAGGACCCATTCATATATAAGAGCCCCAGAAAGTCCATTTTTATGTGAGACCATTTTGAGCATATATAGCCAGTCTAACAAAGTGAAAGTGAATGTCTAGTGGAGACCGTAATGATCCTTGTGGATCTCTCACACGATTTCTTACAGTGTTTCCGTGTAAACTCCCTTATTAATAAGAGAAAGGGGACGGATACTGGTCAATTTGCCTTTTAAACAGGACTTTTTTTCATTTAAAGTCTTAAATTGCTCAAATTTGTTTTTCTGGAAAAATCTATCTTCACAGAAAACCCTTGCTGCTAATCCATTCTATAAAAAGCGGATTCCACCATAAGAGGATTTTAATCAGCTGGACTAAACTCAGTTACACAGGAAGAGATTGTATCTGCAGATTTTCCAGAGACTTTGCCTTCCCTCCTCCCTTCTGGTCATGGCATTTTGGCCATTTTATTCCTTCTCAGGTTTCCAAAAAGGGATGAAATGAAACTCAAAATAGCCGACTAGTCACTGTTGTTCCTTCTGTTTGGGTCTATAATCATTTATTGAGCACCTGTTATCTGCCAGCACGCAGGAAGTTACAGGTGTCCATAGATGATAAGAGCTGAACCCTACCTGCAAAGAGCTCACAGTCTAACCAGACGACAGAGACATGGACAGAAGGGAGACCCAAGCAGCCCCAGCTTGGTGGGGGTCAAAGTTATCTAGCCTGAGCCGATGTTAGAAAATGGATTATTCAGGAGACAGATATGGACACTAAGAAACCCAGAGTGTATAACACTAGAGCTAGCAGACAGAGCTGCAGGGGTATAAAAACTAAAGTCTAGAGTAGGGCAAAAAGCAGAGACAATCGAGAGCCAGGTGTTATGCTATGGTCTGAATAATGGAGTCCCCCCAAAATTCATATGTTGTAACCTAATACCCAACGTGATGGTAATAAGAGGTGGGGCCTTTGGGAACTGATTAAGTCATGAGGGCTCCACCCTCTGAGTGAGATCAGTGCCCATGTAAAGACAGGGGAGTGAGTTCCCTGTCCTCCCACCATGTGAGGACAGAGGAACAAAGCACCATCTATGAAGCATTCACTAAACACAGAATCTGCTGGCTCCTGGAACTTGAACTTCCCAGCCTCCAGAACTGTGAGCAATACACTTCTATTGTTTATATGTTTCAAAGTCTCAAGTATTTTGTTAAGCAGCCTGAATGGACTAAGACACCAGGTTATGGGAGAGCTTGCACCATGTTGATGAGCTGAGGCTTCATCTTGTAGAGCAATGCAGAGCCACCACGTGGTTTTCAGCACAGAACTAATGTGGTCACCTTCCCATTTTAAAACAAGCATCTGAACAGCTGAGAGAAGAAGAGATGAACACTAGGTATCCCACAAATGCTGTAGCCTAGGCAAGAGCTGATAAAGCCTTGAACTGGCACAACAGTGAGTAGGAAGGGGGAGATGGGTTGAGAAATGAGATAATCAGTACGGAAGGAGATTTAAAAAATAAGAATTTAAAAGTCTGTGGAACAGTGACTAAGGGGATCAAAAGTCAGAGATAAAATTAGCTTTGAAGGTTCTCAGTGGGGATCAGGTATTTTATCTGAATGCTTTTCCTATGTCCAAAAAGGCTGGTCATTGTATAGGTTCTCCTTTAAACTGAGGACTTTGATCATGGGTTCTAGGATTGAAATTCAGTAACACATTTCAGCCTTGGGCACATGAGCACACTGCTGAGTGCCATATGAAAACTCCTACAAGATAGTCTAACCTCTGTCTACTTTCCCATGCAAAACTCACACAAAATCAGCTTCCTCCTATAAGTCTAAATTAAAATACGCAGAAGTCTGGAAGGAAAGAAAATTATGGTGAGTACTTACTCAGGAAAAACTACATATATGTTTAATTTCTATATTAGATTAGACGTATCCATGTTTTAATTTTTAAAAGAATACTTCTCAACTCATTTTATGAGCCAGGTAAATCTTGATAACACACCTTACATGGACATTACAATTAAAAGAAATTACAGGTAAATTTCATTCATGAATATTGCTATAAAACTATTTTTTTACATATGAGCAGAAGACAAGCAGCAATACATAAAATAAATAGTACATCGCATACCCACTTTGTTTCTGGTAAAGCTAAATTGTACGATGTGGTTTGGACCTACTCCTGGAGTGAGAACCTTCCACTAGCTCTACTGAAGTGGGCTGACTTACCCACTCACTTGCAGAGTTAACTAGAAGACAGCAGGCTGGTAAGCCTTCCAGATAAGCTGACAGACTGAGGCAGATAAGGAGATCACACAGCCAGCAGGCCATATTAGAGCAGGATCCAGGAACACGGGTCACTTACGAGATGCAGCCATCATCAGTCCCACACAAGACACCATTGGATGTTAGCCTCCCACCAGAACCACCAACTTTCATTCAGCAGGAGAAGCAAACAGTGGTGGGAAAGTGAGGACATTGCTTTCATACTATTTCCTTTTGGAAGTAAATACGAAAACACACAAAAAAAGAAAAACTCATTTCAAAAATAATAATAATACATCACAACAAAGTTGGGTTTTATCCGAAAATGCAAGATTGGCTTAACATGTAAACACCCATCAAATAATTCATCACATTAACAGAATAAAGGAAAACAGTTAAATAATTGCTGTATAAATAAGTGTCTACTTAATTTATGACAAAATTATCATTGCAGAGCATTGGGAAAACAAAGTCTTTTCCTTTAATGGTGCAGGGTTAAGTGGATATCACGAAGGAAAAAAACAAACTTGATCCCAACCTTACACCAGATGCAAAAATCAATGCCATATGGATTACAGATCTAAATGCAAAAGGTGAAACAACACAGCTTAAAGAAACTAATATAAGAGGACATTTTCATGGCCTTGAGGTAAACAAACTTCTCTTAAATAGGACATAGAAAGCACTAACTATAAGGGAAAATATTGGCAAATTAGAATATATAAAAATTAAAATCTCTTCATCCAAAGACACCATAAAGATAGTGAAAAATCAAGCTCAGGGTAATATATGATTTTTGCAACAATTATAACCAAAAAGTTTCATATCCAGAATATATAAATATCTTCTACAAATCAATGAGAAATGATAATCCAATAGAAAAATGAGCAGGAGTGATATCAACAGAATGAAGCGGAAAAAAAAACTTACGGTCATATCAACAGACACGGAAAAAGCATTTGACAAAATTCAACACTGCTTCATGATAAATATACTCAACAAACTAGGTGTAAAAGGAATGTACCTCAACACAATAAAGGCCATATACAACCAACCCACAGCTAATATCATACTAAGGAAACAAAAATTGAAGTCCTCTCCTTGAAGATCTAGAAGAGAAGGATGCCCACATTCCCCACATTGATTCAACATAGTGCTGGAACTTCTAGTCAGCACAAAAAGGCAAGAGAAAGCAATAAAGGGCATCCAAATTGGAAGGGGGGAAGTCAGACTATTCCTATTTGCAGGTGACATGATTATATACATAGGAAACCCTAAAGATTCCACCAAAAAATTGCTAGAACTAATAAATGAATTCACTAAAATGGCAGGATACAAAATCAACACACAAAAATCAGTAGCATTCCTATATGCCAATAACAAAATAGCCGAAGAAGAAATCAAGAAAGTAAGTGCATTCAAAATAGCTACCAACAAAATGAAATACCTAGGAGTAAATTTAACCAAGGAGGTGAAAGATCTCTATGATGAAACCTATAAAATGTTGGTGAAAGAAACTGAAGAAGACATAAATAAATAGAAAGACATCTTGTTTTCATGGGCTGGAAGAAATATCATCAAAATGTCCATTTTACCCAAAGCAATCTACAGATTCAATGCAACGCCCACCAAAATACCAATGACATTCTTCACAAAAATAGAAAAAACAATCTTATAATTTGTACGGAACCACAAAGATCCTGTATAGCCAAACAATCTTAAAAAGAACAAAGTTGGAAGCATCACACTACCTGACTTCAACATATACTATAAAGCTGTAGTAACAAAAACAGCAAAGTACTGGCATAAAAACAGACAAATTGATCAACAGAAGAGAACAGAGAACTCAAATACACCCACACATCTAGAGCCAACTGATTTGCAACAAAGGTGCCAAGATTACACAGTGGGGAAAGGACAGCCTCTTCAATAAATGTTGCTGGGAAAACTGGACATCTACGTGCAGAAGAATGAAATTAGACCTTTATCTCTCACCATACACAAAAATCAACTTGAAGTGGATCAAAGACCTAAATTTAAGACCTGAAACTATGAAATTACTAGAAGAAAACACAGAGGAAATGCTACACAAGATGGGAGTGGGCAGCACTTTTTTGAACAAGACTACAGAGGCACAGGAACTAGAGCAAAAATAGACAAATGGGACTACCTTAAACTAAAGCTTCTGCACAGCAAAGGACACAATGGGTGAAGAGATAACCTACAGAATGGGAGAAAGTGTTTGCAAACTACACATCAGACATGGGACTAATATCCAGAATATATAAGGAACTTAACTCAACAGCAAAAAAAAAAAAAAAAAACCCAGTTTAAAAATGGGCAAGAGACCTGAACAGACATTTTTCAAAAGGACAACAGGCCCATGAAAAAAATGCTCAGCATCACTATTCACCAATGAGATATCATTTTACTCCAGTTAGAATAGCTGTTATCAACAAAACAGAAAATAGCAAATGCTGGTGAGGATGCAGAGAAAAGGGAACTCTCCTACATTGTTGGTGGGAATGTAAATTGGTACAGCCTTTGTACAAAACAGTATGAAGGTTCCTCAGAGAAGTAAAAATTGAACTACTTCATGATCCAGCAATCCCACTACCAAGCATATACGCAAAGGATGTGAAATCAGTATTTCAAAGAGGTACCTGCACTGCCAAGTTTATTGCTACACTATTCACAAAAGCCAAGAGATGGAATCAACCTAACTATCCATCAGCAGATGAATGGATAAAAAAACTGGTAATATATACACAATGGAATACCATTCGACGATTAAAAAAGAAAAAGGAAAAAATACTCTCATTTGCAGCAACATGGATGGAACTGAAGACCATCATGCTAAGTTAACTAAGTCAGGCACAGGAAGACAAATACCACATGATGTCATTCACATATGGTATCTAAAAAAAGAAAAAGAAAAGTGGATCTCATGGAAATAGAGAATAGAATAATGGTTACCAGAGGCCAGGAGGAGACAGGGAAAGTGGTGGATTAACAGATACAAAGCTATGCTATCTATTCTAAGTGAATCACTGTACACTATGCACATAACCCACAAATCTGTACAAATAAAGGTTTTAAAAAAAGGAAAGAAAGAAAATTACTGCCTTAAATGACAAAAAAGAAAAGAAAAATGATCAGGAGACTTGGTAAGACCACAAAAGAGAATATCCAAATGGCCAACATATATGAAAAAGTTGCTTAATTTATTAATAATCCAGAAAATCAAATTAAATACACAAAGATATTCTACTACACAGCCCCAGAATGACCAAAATCAGAAAGACTGAGAGGACCAAGTGGGGAAGCTACAACTCTGACCCACCACCTGCATGAGTGGAAACTGACACAAACTCTCTGGAAAACTGTTTAGCACTATTTATTAAAGTTGAATATAGTCGTGCCTTACAATTTAGTATATATATATATATATATATATATATATATATATATATAAGCAGAATGCCTACACACCCATACCAAAGACGCACCAAAGACATGCACAAGAAAATTTACAGCAGCACTCTCTGAAATAGCCTAAAACTCAAAACAACCCAAATGTTCAAGGGTAAAACGGATAAACTGCGGTATATCATTGATACGATAAAAGAAAATACAAGGAAAATATACCACTATTACACCCAGCAGTATAGACACATCTTATAAGCATGATGCTTAGAGAATGTAGCCAGACACAAAAGAACACCTGCCCATGTTAAGTGGTCTTATCCCAATAAAATAAAATGCAAAAATTAAAGAAAGAATACCTACTGTATGATTCCATTTATATGAAGTTCAAAAAGAGCAATACAAATCTATGGTGTCAGAAGGCAGGACAGATGTTACTTTGAGGAGGTGGTGAAGTTCCATCTCAGGAGCAATTCTCAGGGGGAGTCACAGCACAGTGTCACCCCAGGTGAGCACACCAAGTCACATGCTTCTGCTCATTGTGATCTTCCACATGCGCAGCCCCAATAAAGTTTCCATATGAAGTTTCAAATGTTGATTTCCTTCTTCTTAAATGGAAGGGCTAAGAAAATATTATAAAATATATTTATTAAAATCAATTAATTTTTAACTTGAGAACCAAGTTTCTTCGCACCTGTGAGCAGTTTTCTCCCCTGATGTCAGATAATAGGAAGAACTATGGCATCATTTTAGGTCTACTGGATTCAGAGGAAGGGAATGCCTTCCCCATGAAGAATGTAGAAGAATTCAGGGAGAATGAATAAAGCCCGCTGCAATTTAGCTAAAAGGTGAGTAATGCGTAAGGAGAAAAGAAAAAGAAAAAAATTAATAGCTAAAGGCCCAATGTATAAAATCAAGACAGTAATGAAGGGCCTGCTGGAGGCTCATCAGACATGGGACTAATATCTAGCCTTATATAAAACGGGATTAAAAGGTAACAAATTTAGGCCGGCTACAAGAAAATGCTTTCTCAGGAAATGTATGATTAACCTGTAGCCAATAGTTTGGTAAAATCCAACTCCTCTCTTAAAAAAAAAAGAAAAAAGATTAGCTGTTTATAGCAGCCAAACCAGCATCCGTGGTTACATTGACTAGTATTATATTACAAAGACTCCCCTGCTTTCAGGCAAAAACTGATTGCCAGCTGGGGTCAGTAAGAAAATTTTCCATTTGGTGTAGTTATTTCACAGCTCTGTATCTAATATTGAACAATTCTCCAGGCTTCTGGTATTTGCACCTCCATCCCCCGCACCTGGTTCTGGGGACCCAGCATGTTGCATTGAAACAGGCTATTGTTTTAATCCTGGATGGCAACACCTGTAGGCCTGTGTTTAGGCAACACTTTGTGTTTCCAAAAGGTAAATACAATGAATACAATCAAAATTGTTCCTAACACTACTGTTTTTACATCAACAATCTATTAATATATGGAAGAGCTCGATATATGTGTGAAATAAACAGAAGGTATGCCTACATTGAGGTAATTCAAAAGACAGCTCTATAATTTAGCAGCTTGGATTTCAACTGTTGTGTTTTTAGGTAAAAAAATGTTATGGAAAATACAGATATTATTCATCAAAGTGATTGTCCTGTGCACTTGTATACCTTATATAATTTTTTTTCCAGGCTTTTTACTTCAAAGAAATCACTAGCTAATGACATTTCAGACTTTAGAATTTTTTTCTGATAGCACACTGGAATTCCCTCAGGGACAGAATTGTGAATAAGTGGATTTTTTTAAAGATCATTAACAGATATTACAAACCAATTCAAACTGAGCATTTTCTTTGCAAATTACCTTTAACTTTTAAAGCCATTGAAGAAAAAGACAGTGAGTGATTTAATTTACTTAACCTGTCTACAAATTGCAGCTTTGCTCTCCATCGGCGATTGCATTTCTAACCAAGAAAAAAAAACTCTATGTCTAATAGAGATATTTTTCTAAATTATCACACTCGATCAGGGATATTTCAAAAGAGAGTAATGTTTATTTTTTTCATTTAGCAAGTTGCCCTGGAATTGAGAATGTTTATTCTACTGATATGTTTAAAGTAAAACCAGAGCCCTGCACTGTCTTTATCTGTGCTTAATTAAAACTCTCCAGTAATTAGCAGGTTTATCAATCTCCTGAACAAATGGATGGTGGAGCTTCATGGGAGATTGTGTGGTTTTTTGAGGGGAGGAGAGGGCTCTTACATTTAATGATCAAAATATAGCTCTAAAGAGCTAATATTTGGGGTGAGAATCACCTTTATTTCCCGCATACATCAGGCCTGATTCTTATTTGCATCAACACCCCATTGTGTATGTTTTCCATTCAAAGAGCTCCTGCGGACTTCAAAGAGAGTTGCCTGCAAAGACAGGCTAAGTGAGAATCCTGACAGGCTCCAGAACAGACCCAGAGCCAGGAGAAACCATACCAAGAGCAGCTCACGTTGGAGCTCCCAAACCATGTCGCAAAATTAAAGGGTCTCCCCTGCATATACCATCCCACAGCGCACGTGGGAAACGTCCCCAGGCTGGCCAAGCACTGCACTGGCTTCTCCAGCTACTATTTACAAATATTTGATGAGTAAAGCTCCATTTATAAGAGAGTATGTTAATAAGAATATTCTTTGAGGTGGCGAATACATGGATATGGAACTCTCAGGCACGGGAAGCCGACTATCTATTTTGCACTCATTCAACACATTTTTATCATGCAGAGTTGAGGCATAGGTGCTACATCTTTACGCCAGATTTCTAAGCACACTTTACCTGGCCTTTGCATTTGGGATAAAATCAAACCCCTGAATGTGAGCCACATGGGAGGCCAAGCATCTCTGGCACCTGCACACCTCCCACAACTGCCCCTGCCCGAGAGACCCAGCTCAGGGCTCTGCAGACAGACACAGTGGCCACTCTCCATCCCACCCCCTGAATCTCTTTCCACAGCTATTCACCTGCTGCCCCTCCTTTTCATTCCTGGCCCCCCTGAAATGTCCTCTCCTCTGAAACACTTGCCATCGCCTCTAGATCCAGTAGTCCCAGCCCTGACCTTCAGGCACACGGCCCCAGAGCCATCATTTCCACGGCAACGACACTCTGGCTTTGGTCCCTCCTGTTACCATCCATCTACCCAGCTTGACTGCAACCTCCAGGAGGGCGAAGGTCACTTCAGCCTTGTTTCCCCACTTGGTCTCCGCCCAGTGACTGGCACATGAACAACCCAGGAAACAGAGTTTTGCCTTAAAGCATCTCACCTGATGTAGAACAACATAAAACCCCAGTCAGATACTTTGTTTCATCCGCTGCAGTGGCAGCTCTTGAACCGAAGAAGAAAGTTCTTTCTTCCTCTTCCACCAAGCTCCAGTTCTTTCCCCTGCAATTAATCCGCGCCTCCTACCTGCAAGACACTATGCACCTGATCTAGAAGCAAGGCCCACGGTTTGCTCCCAGCCCCTCAGATATGTTGTACTTGTTGGTCAGGGTTCTGCCTGCCAAGGAGACACAGCTTACCCTTGTCATCTAAGCATCCCTTATCTTTTAAGGGAGAAATGGCGATGAGCCCAGAGCCTTGGGGCCAATGTGCGACTTTCAGGTGCTCCCTGGGACTCTCCTGCCAGAGTTAGCAGAGTTTCAGTGACAGCCCAGATCTTCAGCTGCCCTCGCCTAATGAATTCCCCACGGTGGCTACAGAGTGGGGGCAGCAAGCAACACTCCCAGCATTTACGTCTTTTTTATTCTTTAAATGTTTTTCTTTATTTCCAAATTAAAGAGGTAACACATGCTTATTGTAACAAATGAAACAATACTTTAAAAGGTGGATAAAAGCAAATATAATTATTTCTCCCAATCCCACCTCATACCACTTTCTTGAGATTACCAAGGGCATGCAAGCCTATGCCTATATCCATGCATAAAATATATAATAAAAATGCATATATAATATATAATGTTACATATCATACACATTATATTACTATATATACCTGGTATATCATTTTATATAAGTGGAGTCATATACATTCTGGGAAATTTTAGTGCAGTATTTTATCTTGTTTAGTTATCCATCTATTTTGGGTGCTTTTCCCAGGTGTGGTTACTACGGGATCTTACTGGACAGCACAGGTGTGTTCTGGCCATGGGACCACACCTGTCTTCAGTGGCACCTGGTTTCCCTTTCTGTTCTTGAACACAAGTGTTGCTTTGTCACACTGGAATTCAGGTGAGTCTTCGGAAAAGTGGCACTGCTATTTTTTTCTCTTCTCTGTTGGTGGCTTTGGGTCATCTGAAGAGACGTCTACCCAGTCCCTTTGGTTTCCTACAGTCCCCCAGCCCTTCTTGCTTCCCTCTCTTTCGAATTGGCTCTCATTTTAAACCGCCAGCCCCTATATTGTCTCTGACCTTGTCTATTTCCAGCGACCTTCCCGAAGTCACAAATCTGTTGGCCAAAGGCCCCTTTCCCTTTCTCCACAGGTGTCTCTCCCTACTCCTCCTCTGGCAAAGCTTACCCAAGCCCTCGCTCAGTACGCATTTCTCAGCCCATTTGTCCTCCTGATGCTTGCCCTAACAGGTCACACATTTGATCAACACGTTTGTATATTGCTTTGTGAGTTTCAAACATATTCAAGTAGTTTATTTCAACTAATTCTTACAACAGCCCTATGAAATGGAGAGGGGTAAGTATATTGCCCCCCAAAATATTTAGGTCTTAGACACATTAACAGGCAATTTGCAAGAAGATATTAACATGGCAGGATTAAAAAAAAATCTCAGTTTCACTATTAGTGAAAGAAGTGCAAAGTATAAAAACATGGATATACTTTTTACCTATGAAATTAGCAAAAATTTAAAAGAATAATACTGTTCAGCAAAGGAGGAGAATGGTGGGTTTACTAGATGTTTGCAGGTGGGAGTGCAAATTGGAGGCACTTCTCTGATAGATAACTTGCCAACACATATTGAATTAGAAAACCAAGGAACCATACAATTCCTCTTGCAGGAATTTATCCCGAGGAAATAAACAAAGCTATGGTAGAACATTTTTTAGAACATATTTTAATATGTGACTGATTAAGCTGAAGTACAGTCATGCAATAAAATGCCCTAAAAAAATAAAAAGTAAGAATGTGGAAGATTATATAATATGCAAAACTTTTTGATACAATAGGTAAAAAAGATTGATTATACAATAACACACGGTCGGAGTCCCATATATATATATATATGATAGATATGCATATAGATATAGATATCATGCACCCCAAAATGGCAAGGAAAATTATCTCCTAGGGATGGCATTAGGGGTGATTTTTATTTCTTGATTTCTATTCATCTCTATTTTCTAAGTTATTTTCAGTAACCACATCTACCTTTGTAAAGAGAAAAACAAAAAAGTGATAACATTAAAAAAAAAAATTGCCCTCATCTAAATGGAAGCAGTTCTGCATTTGAGTCTTCCATTTATTTATCGAACTCCTCCTATATTCAAAGCACTCAGCTAGGTGAAAAGGCTATAGTGGTTAAATCTTTTTAAAATTAAAAAAAAAAAAAAGACCTGGCGTCT